CCAGGTTCTGTCTTCTATTGTCTTGTTACATCTGTATTTATACCAGTTGATTTTAATCCTATCAATCTCTATTCCAAAGGTTAGGGCGTTTCTTATCTCCATTCCAGGAAGTAAAGATTATGTAGCTTAAGCATGATTGTTCGTAGTTAAAGTGATTAATTACCCGCCTGGCACTTAGTTAAGAGGTTTTATTCCCTCCCTAACTTCAGGGGAAAGTCCCTATCTGGGGAAACAACCTTTCTCGGAGAGGTGACCTTGGTTAAAACACAGTGCCAAGAAGGTGAGCAAACATATTAAGAACAGTATGCCATATATGCCAGGTCCCTTGAAACAGCAAGGATGGACTGGCTCCCGGCAATAAGATGGTTATGAGAATTAAATGGGTTATTAAAATTTCTGGCAAAGGATTACACAATCAATGTGTTAGTTGTTACTTCCATCATTTATAGCAGCATCTAAAGCTTGAGTGGTTTCTATATGCACTTAAAAAAATCAACAACCCTATGGTGTTAAGCTGTTTTGATTTGATTGATTTGGGTACTTTTCACTAAACTAAGCACTTAAACAATAACAACTTACTGGCCTATTTCCCAGAGAGGCAAATAAACATTAATAATTGTGCCAGGGTTGATGTTCATTATTATATTTACAATTCTCTCATATCAAAAATCTCATATAATTTGGAAGAGAAGCACAGTAGTCTGAAAAGTAGTTGAACTGTAAAAACTAAAAAGCCTGCATTAAAAAGGTGTTTTCATAAAAATTATCTTTTCAGCCAAGCCATAGCATTGTCTAATCAAGTCTCAACGATGATTTGGGTTCATGACTGGTAATGATACATAGAATGACTATTTACTGCATATTTGATGCCAGAATCAACTAGATCCACTGCCAATTTCAGAGTGAGATTGATGTTCTTGGGAATACCCCACTTAATAATTAGCTGAGCACCTAGTATGTGCCTAGTAAGATGAGAAAAGCTCCAATTGAAACTGAATTCCCTTATATTTAACTACAGGGGGAGAATTCAGAGAGAGAGGTATAAGCCCCAGCTATGACTTTTCAGTCTTAATATCCATACATCCTAAAATATAAACTTCAAATAATACCCCATTATAACCCATCTCCTCGAATCAAAACAGTACGGTTAAAATTTTTCTGTAGAATCGATTCCTTCCTGTTTATTCAAATTATTCAAACTTATTCTTCTTGGAAGTCTTATGAGGAAAATGAAAACATATGATTAGTTCTATACTGGATTTGTCCAAAAGCCTTTAAAAGGTACCCTCTTGGGCTCTGTCTGGGTAACTCAGCTGGTTAGAGCATTGTCCTAATACACCAAGGTTGTGGGTTTGATTCCCAGTCAGGGCACATACAAGAATCAAACAATGAATGCATAAATATGTGGAACAACAAATTGGTTTCTCTCTCTAAAATAAAAGTAACCCTCCTTGAAAACAAATGACAACTTATAAAAGCCTTTAATATTAAAAAATGTTCCAACTCTAGTACTTAATGAAAATGTTAACATTTTCATTATTTCATAGTTTCCAGACAAGTGGTACATGCTCCTGGAATTTCTTAAGAATACCTTTTGTAGATACTGTCAGTTCTGTTAAAACAATGGTTATTTTCCGTAAATACTGTCCTAAAACAAAACAAAACAAAACATCCAGGAAGTTTCCCTATAATTTCCTTTAGTAAAAAATCACCCTTTGGCCCAGCCGGGCATGGCTCAGTGGTTGAGCATCCACCTATGATTCAGGAGGTCAGGGTTCAATTCCTGGTCATGTTACATGCCTGGTTTGCGGGTTTGATCCCCAATAGAGGGCATGCAGGAGGCAGCCAATTGATAATTCCCTCTCATCACTGATGTTTCTCTCTCTTTCTCCCCTCCCCCTCTTCCTGGAAAAAAAATTGTCCTTTGTTAGCACACATTTTAAAGGCAAGAATTTGTTCAGCTGATGTATTTTCATTTCAAATGTCTTTAAATCTTACTCCCCCTTCCCTCTTATTTAGTTACTTTAAAGATTCCTGGTATATCAGTCTAATGCATATATCCAGTTGGTATAAAATACTGAAACTCGATCTACTGTTCTGTCATCCAGTACAATAGAGAATAAAGAAGTCTCAAAATTTGTCTTTTCTTTTTCAATCACTCCTTAATATATCTGAACACCTCATTTTTTTAATTCTCTGAATGCCCTCTTAGTTCACATTTACTCTACATGTGGGCCTAACATAAGCCATATACACTAAGTCTTCCAATGACCATGCATTTATTAGCATATAGCAATATTAAATGAATTTCCATGCTAGTTTTTAAATCTGTTGAACTTTTACCTAAACTCCAAATTAAATTATCTAATTTGGCTATTCAGAAACTAAGACCATCTGGTATTGTTTAAAACAGGAAAGATTATAGTGAAGGTCTTTTTTTCTTTTTAGAAATTTATTTTCTTAATGTATATCCTATATAATAAAAGCCTAATATGCAAATTGACTGAATGGCAGGGGTGTGAGCAGGGGGCCCCCTGATCACTCCGCCAGTGGCCCCAGAGGGAGGCAACTGGCAGCGGTGGGGGGGGGGGGGGGGGGGGCAGGGCCAGTGAGTGGGTGGCACCAGGGTAGCCAAGGCAGGTGCCAGTGGGGACCCCCCTGATTGCCCCACAGATTGGACTTGATCGCCAGCCAGGCTTAGGGACCCCACCTGTGCATGAAAATCATGCACCAGGTCAGGCCTCTAGTAAGTATTATAAAATCACCACAAATTCTTCCTGAAGAGTAAAAGTATGTAGGAAGAAGAAGTCACCCATTTTCAAAGTTCCAAATTCCTGGAGTTTTAGACATAAACTCATCTAAGAATCACCTATTCAAAATGGTACAATAACTATTATGGACTTATTTGGTTCATAATCCCTATTTGGATATTTTCCTTTTTTTCCCCCCAAAGGATGCAATACCCATTAAAATGCTGACAAAAATGGCATAACAGGGCCTGACTTGGAATCTGTACCATAGGCCTGTTTTGATGACAAACACCACTGCCCTCAGATTTTTAGACTCCCAAATAATATAGTTTATTTTATTAGCCAGTTTTCATATTCTAAAAATATGCTTTTATTGATTTTAGTGAGAAAAGGATAGAAACATCAATGAGAGACATCAATTGGCTGCCTCCTGCACCCCCCCCTGCCCCCCCCCGGGATAGAGTCCATAATGAGGGAATTGAGCAGGGACCTCTTGGTTCATGGGTCAACACCCAACCACTGAACAACACTGGCCAGACCAATTTTCAGATTCTAAACCTGCCTTTCCAAATTAAACTCCTAGTTCTTAAGAGTTTTAAATTATAAAATATTAGCACGTGAGAAAAATAGGTTGAGACATACCATTTTTGCTTACATTCTAAATGGGGCACTGTAACAGATAGGTCATACACTCTGAATTCATGTTTGTGTCATGTTTACATTTTTTAAAACCATAGCCACATGTTCAAACTGAAATGTCAATAACTATTCTTAAAGGTGTTTTGATTATCAAATGTAAATTCTACCCTTTCCAAAGAGCTCAGCTTTTTGATAAATTTGGTGTGATGATTGGGGTACAAAAGAAACTCATACTGATCTTAGATTTCTTTTTGAGCAAATCTTGAGTCAGTATTTTCCTTACTCTCCTGTTTAAAAAACCTTCAATGATTTCCCTTGCATCAGAATGCTTCTCACACTATGGGAAGATACCTGTGGGGATGATAAGCAAGTGTGGCAGAGGAAGCCACAGGATAAAATATCTCATATGCTCAAGTTTACTAAAACATCTTGAGAAATTTTATGTATTTAAATATTATGGAACAAATTCTACAATTCATGGTATTTTTCAGGTATATTTTAGATAAATGTAAAGAAAAAATTTCTGGGCCAGAGCCTATCTCAAGAGGGAGATGCTCCCTTTAGTCTCTTATGAATCAGGTTAAGAAAAAAAAATTGCTAATCCAACTATGTAACTAGAAGGGAATAAAGCCAAATAGTAGTAGTTGCCATTGGGTGGTAAAACTGTGATTTTTAAATAGAATTTTTGCCCTTTCTGACATTTCTATATGTTCATGTATTACTTTTACCCTAAGAAAAATTAAAACAAACTTCATTTTAAACAGAAAAATACTTAATTTTTAGACTTGAAAGTCAGTGTTGTTGTGCTATTAAATACACTAAAGTCAGACTTTCCTTTAGTTTGTTAATATAGTTTCAAAATTAAAATAGATTTATATACTCCATTTCTTATACTTACCTTTTGAGGTCTGGGGCTGGAAGAGTGGGAAAATGACAGAAAAACCTCTCAACAAATTCAAGAATTCTTTTTGTTGTTGTTAATCCTCACCCAAGGATGTGTTTCCATTGATTTTTAGAGAGTGGGAGGAGAGACACAGAGAGAGAAACATTGATGTGAGAGAGACACAGGGATTGGTTGCCAGGGCTTGCAACTAAGTTACATGCCCTTGACTAGAATCCGAGCCTAGAACCCTTCAGTCTACAGGCCAAAGCTCTATCCACTGAGCCAAGCCAGCTAGGGCTTCAAGAATTCCTTTTTTAACATTCCTTTGACAACAGAGTAGATTGCTCCTCTAAAGCTTATTTTAAAATGACCTTATTTTTTAAATGATTTAATTTTTGAAATTATCTGTTCAAATTCTTCCCATGATAGTATACTTCATTATCACTTGTACAGTTCCCAAACCCAGTAGGATTTCCATTACAGATTTCCATGGTGGTAAGGCTGCTTCAAATAACTACTTATTTTTTAAGGATTTCTCATTCTGCACAGCTGGCCTGGCTCAGCAGTTGAGTGTTGACCTATGAACCAGGAGGTCACAGTTTGATTCCCAGTCAGGGTAGATGGCAGAGTTGGGAACTTGATCCCAGTGTGGGGCGTGCAAGAGGCAGCCGATCAAAGACTCTTTCTCATCACTGTTGTTTCTATCTCTCTCTCTACCACTCTGAAATCAATTAAAAATATAATTTTTTTAAAAAGAAAAAACAAACTTTCCTCCATTCGCAATCATACATTCTTATTTATAGCACACCCTCCCCCGCCATGCTAATACAATTGATCTCACACCCATAATAACCAGTAAGTTTAGCAAATGTATTCTTCTAATTAGTTCATTTGTACTATTTGGTAACCTTTTTCACTTAATCATGAACAACTCCTAGCTCATTAATATAACTACATTATATTGAGTAAGTTTGAATAGTACTACTTATCACAATATATTATTTTTTGCTCTCCAGCCTGTTTTCTCCTCTATTCCAGGAACTTATTCCATGTGGTTTGAGCAGGCCTGACCATCCCCACCACTAGGTAGGCGCGATTTAGACCAGCCAATCAGAGTACTCCATTTATACTCCACCCCTCCCCCCAGACCATGGTGATTGGTTCAGGAATGGACATATCCTAGAAACAAGCCAATGAGAGCCTTCCCTGAGACCTCTTTGCCAGAATTATTCAGACAGTATGCCATTTAACATGTTATTTAATCAGCTTTTAATTGTTAGACACTTAACTCTTCCAATCTTTTAATATAAACATTATAATAAACACATGGACTACTTCTTAAAAGTATATTTATTAACTGTTTTTACAATATTAGAAAAGGAAATAATTATTCTAATGTGCTAAAATCCTAAAAATACATTATGGCTACTCCACATTCTTATGTGATTGATATATAGTTTTTCATATAATAGAAAATAACAACTATACCACTTGTCAGCATAGAACTAATATCTGAACTTTGGGACCTCATATTTAGGCTGATGTTTCGAAGTTCTGGATATCTTAGTCAACCTGCTTTTTCTTCATTTTGTTTCTTAAAATTAAAATTTTTGTTCATATTGCTAATACATTTTAAAGGTTAATATGTATGAATAAATAAGGGGCAATTAATGATAAAAGTGTTATGTTCCTCAGGTGTGTTAAGTCAGAGAATAAGGTTAAGAACTAGGGATATAAATTGTTCATATCATCAGGAGGAGGAATAATGCCAGACTATTAAAGTCAGGAAATAGCAAACAGAAATTACTGAAAAGCAAAGAGATAGAAAAATGCATGTACCAGGACTAGTTCACTTGAAGAAATATGGAAAAACTTTAGAAAATATTGGGGCAAGATCATGAGGTACAAGCTAAAAAATTTGAATTTCATCCAATAAAAAGCAGTGTTTTAGGAAGGTTAAGTTAATGGGATATCTGTAGCAGATGATGAAACAATTATAGGCAAAGAATTCCTCAGCTAAAATGCTGCAAAATAAGAATAAGCAAGAAATAACGAAGTACTTAACTATGGTAGCAATTCTAAGAATGGTGTCAAAGACAATGTTTGGGTAAATGACAAACATGAACAAGTTCAGTGTGTTCCTTGGAGCCATTAGCTTTGACTAAACTGGTCAAGTGGAAAACAATTTCAGAGTCATCAAAGCACAATTTGCAAAAACCTGATCATCACACATATATCTATTAACCAACCAAATACTTTTTATACTCTAAATGGTCTCAATGGAGGTTATTAACCTTGAGTCTGATTCATAAAACTATTATGTTATATTTACAAAGGTCAAATAGGCTTAGAGGAAACCAACTGAATGAAAAATTAAATCTGTATATTAAGCTAAAAGCTTAAGCAGCCATAACATCTGCCCCCTATAGTCTTTGATCCTATGAGCTACGATTCTCCCTCTTGTATAATTGATCATAGCCTCCCAGACCTCCTTCCTATACCAGAAATGTCTTTATAGTTGCTATGTCATCTACCTGAAAGCCTCTTCTCCCAGATACCTAATGGTGTGCTCCCTTATGGTTTATGTCTTTGTTCAAATGTCATCTCTGTGAAGCATTTTCTCATCATATTGTTTAAAAATATGCCTCTCCTGCTTTCCAAACACCTTCATGCCATTCCTCCCACAGCCCTTGATTTATTCTTCCCCATAGAATTTATTACCATCTGACATGCCACTACGGTACCTATTAATGTTGTGTACTCTGTTACCCACACCTCACTCCCAAGATTGTAAGCTCCATGAAGGTTGGAATTTGTTTTTTCAGCGCTGATCCCCAGTACCTACATAACGTAAGTAAATTTGTACCTTACTTTCTATATATAAATGTTTCAAATGTACTTTTATAAGTTCTTTTAAAAATATATTTTATTGATTTTTTACAGAAAGGAAGAAAGAGGGATAGAGTTAGAAACATCGATGAGAGAGAAACAACGATCAGTTGCCTCTTGCACACCCACTGCTGGGGATGTGCCCGCAACCAAGGTACATGCCCTTGACCGGAATCGAACCTGGGACCCTTCAGTCCGCAGGCCGATGCTCTGTCCACTGAGCCAAACCGGTTAGGGCTCAAATCTATTTTTAATGTTCCTTGTCCAACATTAGCATTTTCACACTGCCAGAAAATACAAATATGAAAATCTGTACACATTATGTTAAAACTTACAAATTCTCTTAAGAAGTGATGTACTTAAACTTTCTCGATGTATACTACCAAACAACAAATATTCTACCTTCATTGCTTCAGGCTAAAATTGTATTTTAAACTGTTCACATGGTAACAAAAAAAAAATTCTTTATAGTTTACTATTTATCATATGAATTAAGTCCAGACAAAAAAGTTTTAGTAGTACTATAAGAACTTATATCCTTCAAATGTTACTTCCATATATAAGAGCATTCCCAAAGATTATGAAATAATGAGATACAGAAGGAAACAATCTCTGGGGTGATTTAAAATTTCTACCACTTTCTAAAGATACTCTTTAGTAAAATAATGCATGCTAAGTGGTTAAGTTATAAAACAAAGATATATTGAATCCTATCTAATAAAAGAGAAACATGGTAATTAGCCGCACGTCTGCTACCCTTCCCATTGGCTAATCAGGGCGATATGCAAATTAACTGCCAGCCAAGATGGCGGCCGGCAGTCAGGCAGCTTGAAGCGAACATGAGGCTTGCTTGCTTCAGTAACGGAGGACTCCCAACGTTCCCGCCTGCCACTGCCGGCCTC